TTCTGTCCTCTGATAAGCATTGTTCAGGACTGCCATTCCCAAAAGCTTGAATGCTTTCTTATGATACTTTTGGGAGACGCAGCCCTGTTTGAATGCACTGTCAGCAGTGAATGAACACTCTCTGTGATGGATCAGTTCTGTCTTGCAACATTTGCGTGTCTTCAGATGAGCAGGAAAATAGTTCTATCCTACACAATTACTCGCTAACAAAGGTTATTCGTCCAATTCAATGCATATTGTACGCATTATTATTATTATTATTATTATTTTTGTTAAATAAACAAAACCACTGGTAAATAAAACGCACCTTAGTATCGATATTTTTTGTTTGAGTATCGATCTTTTCGATACTCGCGTCAGTATCGATATATCGATACTTCGGATCGATACGCCCATCCCTAACAAACTATACTTCAGAATGTGCCGAGGATTTGAGCGCTCCGTCGGCTAATATGAAATGATACTCCTACACTCCGTGGATGTTTATCAACATATAAATGTGTTATGGACTAAATATTTCACTGAATTGGATAGTCTGGACCCTTTACAGTGTAACTACACCATTTTTTTTGGAATGTAATGAACTAGTGGACTAACAAGAGGCTTCATAGGTGAGTTCTTTCAGTTTTGTTATTGTTTATTTGGTTGTTGTTGGTCTGACAAAGACACTGATTGTACCTGCTGTGTTGATTGTATTTTAAAATGGTTTGCGTCATTCGAATCACAACGTATATGACACGTTTACCTTTTTGTGTGTGCGTGTGTGTTTCACGAAGTTAACCCTCAAAGTATGCAGTGTACCACAGGCGGCACACTGGATGGCTATTAAGGCAAGTCATTTCACTCAACAGCCATCTTTGAAAGCCTCTCATGCAGCTATTTCATTCATGCAAGTACAGCTCCTATCTCTTTGAATGGGGAAACACCAAATTCTCCCAAGATGTTCACCAGCCATAGGCGTAATTTGCGGGTGGGACATGTCCCCACCACTTTTTGCCAGGGTCAATACTGTCCCTACCACTTTTTGAAAGTAATTAAAAAATATATTGCGGAAGGTATGTATTAAAGGGAAAACAAGATCCACAAATCATTCTTCATAATCTAATTAGGGTGATAAAAAAGCACAAAAAAAACCACAACAACATTTGACTCCTTACGCATGCATAACTGGTGCAGTGCAATAACGACGTGATTTGCAGCTGTCACACTTTTCGTAATGTCATTAGGCTATAGCATTTTATTTAAGAAATGGAGAGCTTCCTTGTGCTAAGTAGGCCTGCCCTCTACTAAAGGGGATTTTTCTAGTCAACTAGTCGCACGTTATTTTAATATTATATAATAATATACGTTAATATATTATATAATAATATATTAACCATACTTCAATATAGGCTATAGGCAGACGTATTAGGCTAAAGCCTCAAAGCACCGGCAAAGTAATTATGCACGTGTCGGGGGAAAATAAGACATTTTAATTATTTATTAAAAAACTAGTGCTTTCTGAGTCAGTGTGCAAAGATTAGGTTGCCGAATGCCGACGCTGACTCGCCATCTCCACATGGACGTGCCTTTAATAGAAATGCACCTTTTCATACAGACTACAAAAGTAAAGAATATTACAAAATCGAGTGGGCGAGTTTTCTTTATATTTATTTTATTATTCATATAAAAATTATAATAACCTGTTTTGGATATATTTACTATTAATTGCAGAAGGTGCACTCAGCAAAAATGACGTGAATATTGATGGTTTTCACGCTTAAGTAAAGTAAAAGACCGCTTCTTAAACCAGAGAAGGTAAACATGTTGGTATTCTTGTGTGAAAAAACAACAAAAAAAAACATGCAAGCACTGTCACCAGCAGCAAGTTTAGTTTTACTTTTCTTTTTGTTTTGTTTTCATTTTGAAAAGCTTATCTTTGCTGTTTACCTCACGTTATGCTATATGGAGGCTCTCTTTTTTATTTTTTTTGATTCCTCAGTGTTTGCTAAACGTTCTGTGATTTATTAGTCATTATATAGCCTAATACAGCGTGTAGGCCTATGCCATGCCTCATCTTATTCGTTTTTGTTAATAATGTTTTGTAAGCTAGTTTGTCATTGAATCTTACTGTTTTATTGTTGTTGTGCATTTTAATAAAAAATAATGAATCCATCTTTTTTTGTATTAAAAGGTGAAAGGTGTATAGATGTAAGCAAAACAGACAATTATATTTTATTGTAAAACCTGATAAGATCGTGAAATCGAAAGAGAAAGCATCGGAAGTCCAGCTTATAACATGGCAAAAGAGGAACTCCGTTCACAAAATTGAAATCACAAATGATACTACTGATGAAAAAGAACAGGTTGAATGTTAACTATTTTCGTTTCCATATAACTACAAACTACGATAACAGTTAATCAGCATGCATTGATTAATAGCAATGTTGTGGTGCAAAAAAAATAAAAACAGTGCTCGTGCAACCAACTGAGAAAGTTAATCGCAAAAGAGCGACCAGTGGAAAGAATGAGTCTGGAGCCCTGAATTGCCCAGCTCCCTCTGTCAATGATCTAGCTCTCCCTCAGCACCTGCGTTCAAAATTATCTGGCGCCGCCCCTGGTACATCAATGTATTTTTGAAAAGCAAAAATTAAGTTTGTCCAACTCTAAACCCAGTCCCCAAGTAAATTAGGTTATTAAATAAAAAAAACTAGCAAAACGAGTTGCGCGATGTCCCCACCACTTTTCAAAGCAAAGTTACACCACTGTCACCAGCTTACGATTACAGTTCAAATTTGAAAGCAACAATGAAATCTGACAACTTTCTCATAAATGTTATTTTAAAATAATTAACATAAAACTTTGCTATTAGTTTTGAAAACAGCTGAGGAAAAGCAAAAACTAAAGTATCATTTTATGAACTTAATGTCTAATGTTTTTAAGTTTGCCCTTCATTACACAGCGCTCTTGTTGTTAGGATGACAAAAAGCTTTAGTTACATTTTCAGCCTGTTCTGCCTCAGTACTCGTCAATGTCAGAGTGACTGAGCTGGCCAATCAAATCTATTATTATTATTTTTTAATCTATTTATGTCAGTTGTTTCCCCATTCTAATGTTGGATTTCAGTTTAGATTTGTGATATTTTGTGTTAAAGTTTTTTTTTTTTTTTTTATTTTTTTTTTTCATTTTTTTCCCCATTCTAATGTTGGTTTTTAGTTTAGATTTTGGATTTTTTTTTTTAAAGTTTTTTTTTTTTTTTTTTTTAACTAAAGTTTTTAAAATCCATCTTTTATAGTTTATAGTTCAAGTTAATTTTTGCATATGCAGGTCTGGGTTACATTGGTTACATTGGTTAAATTGATACCTTAAACACATAACCTCAAAATAACAACTTTAATATTTTAAACTTTAACTATAGTAAAGTGTTTGTTCAGATACTTTGTCGCTTGCAGATCTCGGATGCTTACACAAGCCTGGCCCTTAACCATGGTTTTATTATAATAGTGTAGTAACCATGTTTCATGGTGTATTGATAACCATTTGTATAACCACAATTTTACTACAAATATGTGGGATTACAAATTTAAGAATCTGTTTAATATCTGATGATTCTACATCCTGACATAATAATAATAAATGAAAAACTAAGGTGATCTTCATTGTATTGGGCATTCAAGGTGAACATGATGGCATCTGGTTACTGATTAAATTCAATGTAGTTTCCAGTGAGCGGGTCTGCAAGTCTCTGATCTTCCTACTGAGAGTTAACTACATGTGAATGTTTAAACATCTTAGGTTCTCGTGGCCAGGTGCAGCTTAAACCATTTGGGTACTGTTATCTTTGGGCAGTAGGTTTGCTGAAGCTCACAGTCAGGGTTGATTTTCTGTATTGTCTTAAGATGTTTTCTTTAGGTGGTCACTTCTGAGGCTATGTGTTCGGTCAACACCTTTAAGGACTGCCCAGTCCCAGGCTTTGTCAGACTTTTGATGCCTGCAGCGCCACACAGCGTGTTCTCAATAAAGAGTCCTGCTGAAGATACCCAAGAGTCTCCTGGTCTTCATTTCTGAGTTTCCAACAAATACCATGCTTGAACTATGGTTAGTGTAGCAAAACCATGGATAATTTGTGGTTAATGGCTTAACTGGTTAATTTCGTAAGGGGTCAAAGGGGCATAAAACTAAACGCATAGAATTATAGAGCTATAGAATTTCTTAAAACGCACATACAGCTTTAAAGAAATACTCACTACACATTCATAAAATCGTCTTTTTCCTTACCAGTAATTGCGATGTACGTGTCAGCAGGTGTGTCTGGAAGCCGTCCAGTTGGTATGACAGATTTAAAAACTAAAGGTTTTTCCCCTGATGAGAAATAGAGAAGAACAGCAAGATGGAGGAAAAGTCATGAGTCTGGATTGGCTGGAAATATAATGAAATTCATAGATGTTATATATATATATATAATTACCTGAAAGTGTAATGTGTGTAATGTTCTATAACAGAAATATAACACAGTGATGTTATTGTGTGCTTCACAGTAAATCTCACCATTCTTAACAGGATTGAGCTCCACATTTTCTCTGTGTGAAATCAGCACACCCTCAGACTGAAAGAGAGAGAGAGTGTTAACTACCTGTGGTGTTTTCTGTTCTTGTATTGATCATTATACTAACAAAAGACCAAATCAAATTAATCAAAAAGTGACAGAATTTCCCATCAGACGTACCACCACCTTCAGCGGCTTACTCACTCCATCAGAGAAATCAAATGCTGCAGCTTTCACCTCAATATCATGATTTCCCAGCGTCATGGGAATAATCACATATGAAACAGCTATGCTGGAGCCTTTGTCAACAGATACTGTTGTTCTGTATTTGCCTTTCTTACTGGCAAAGCTGCAAACATCTTCTGTCTCCATGAACTCCACACACACCTGAATAAAACAGGAGAATGAGACTCAAATCACTTAAATATCTAGAGTTAACTTCCTCCAAAAATGCATTTGATTTGAATATAAAATGTATGATGGAGGAGGACATTTCTGTTTTCCGGGAGTCTTGCCAAGCTCGGAGCCCTCTCCCTGGACAGCACGCCCAATACGCATAACCTTTATTTAATTATAAGAAAGTGTGAACTCGCAGTTTTGCACGCTCATGAATCATCTCTTGACTAAGTGCAGACGCGATGTACACAATTTGTACAGTGTCCCAACTTTTTTGGAATTGGGTTTGTGTATATATATATTTTCTTGCCCACCCCCGACTCAAGAGTCAAATGTCGCCCATGATTGAGGTCATGTACATATATTGCGCGATAAGTAGATATATTGATTATTGCGACAGGCCTACGTGAAGTTATAATGACTCATCACCTGTTACACCGATTGCATTAGAAACTAATTGCTCTTTATCTGTTTATTATAGAACCACACACATATCACAAATATCACAAAGTATACAAGTATTGTCAGCACATCCAGTGCATCACTACACAGACGAGGATGTATATCTATGGACATCTGCATGTTTAAGTCTGTGTGAAGATTACAACAAGTCCAATCATCTGTCTGCATCGATCCCTTCTTTCAAGTAAACGTTTCCCTGAAACTATTGGGACTTAACCGAACTGAGAATTACCTCACTACAAAATCTCTGCATCTTTGAATCCTGGTTCTTTATATTGATTGTTTATTGTTTGCGCAGGCCTACACGGTTTGTGTTTTATTTAGTATGAATGTGCATTTCTATACTGGCTCTCCAAGTGTGAGTAATCAGTTCATTTCTGTTTGCTTAAGCAATACATTGAGTGAATCTTAATTCATGACTCTGGCTCTTTACTCCTCTCCTGGTCACTGGACATTAATTAGGTATTCTGCCTTCTAAAGTGATTGATACCGTAACAGTAATCAGTGCATTGTACAGTCTCTAATACAATCCATAAGGCAGTAATGCAATATTTAGTAACGCGTTACTATTGTAGGGATTTCTAGTACACGAACGGACACTGCTATGCCACTATCAGCCATCATGAGGTCCGGATTAATTTAATCAAGAGATGCCACAGAAATCTTTTGTATGAGGACCGCATGATGCCTCGTGATCCAATGAAAAGAACTATTATATGTATGCACAGGAAGCGGCTATGTTAATCACGCCCTCGGGCTGGCAAGCACGGGATATCTATGCATGACTGTCACATGTCTTGTGACCACCTACTTCCTGCCCTGTCTGAAACCCTTACAAAACTGACAACAAAAGAAACAGAACCTTGCATGGAGATTTTAAAAGATAAATAGTTTAAAAAGTAGTGAACATGTATCCATTGCATGTGTTATGCCATATATATATATATATATATATATATATACAGTGGGGAAAAAAAGTATTTAGTCAGCCACCAATTGTGCAAGTTCTCCCACTTAAAAAGATAAAAAGATCCTGTAATTTTCATCATAGATATACCTCAACTATGAGAGACAAAATGAGAAAAAAAATCCAGAAACTCACATTGTAGGATTTTTAAATAATTTATTTGCAAATTATGGTGGAAATCGGGAGAAAGCTTGTCTTATTCGCCGAACATTGGTGTTAGTGAAAAGTTTATATTCTGTATCATCCTCTGGTGATAATACTTTTATCAGAAGTTCTCAAAAACTTGCAGAAATACTCGCCACAAACAGCATGTGATTCATGCATGATAAGGAACGGTATGGGGCGTGGCTAAACCCCGCAGCCACCATCTGATTGGACCACGACCAGTGGGCTGGACAAAAGTCAGCCTGCTTAAAATGGACACAACGCTCTCGCTCGATGCTTGCTTTTACTCGATCAAGACGTCTGGCTTTCATTTTGGTAACAGCGCTACAATCGCTTCTCACGCCGTAACATCGCACAAGCGAGACCATCTAAGAACTCAAACACTTCAGAGAAACACAATCTTCAAAGAACGCAAAGTCTTGCAAACTCAGGCTTTCAGCAGGACTGCTGAAGCCTCTTCTGTAACCCGGCAACCGGAATATACACTGACATTAACTTTTTGCTGGCCGAGTAGCTGATAGAGTGTAAACCATTTAAATTCAAAATCAGTCTAATCAGGTCGACTTCGAATCTTCAGATCCGAGTCCTTTTAAAACCTGAATGAAATAATAATAATTAATTCCCTACAATTAAAATTAAGTAATAATTTCATTACACTATAATTAGATTTTTTAGTAACGGAGTAATTTAACGTATTATAATTTCCAAAATAGTAATTAGCCTAGAGTATAGTTCCAGTTAATTTGACTGGTAAGCGCATGCGAGGCGGACACTACAAATGAAAACAAACTCAGCATCTGAAGTCATTTTCACATTTCACACACCGTTTTTTTAACATTTGTATTATTTTATGTTTATTGAACGCAATCAAATATGCAAGACTTCTTGTGCAGTGCTGAAATTTGAGTACTTACGAATGTTCTCATTAGAGCACACCAATTGTAGACATTATGAAATATTCATTATGCATATATTAATTTAGTTCTAACAGTTCTTTGGGAGATTGTGATGAACTAAGATGTCAGTTTTTTTAGAGATTATTAAGTGAGCACTCTTTGCTGGCATTCTGCCATGCCAAACCATGCACGCAGCAGCCTACGCTTGCTTTTAGTTAAAAATAACAGTGGTTTGTGAATGCTGATGCTTTAATAACAAATATTTTATCTGAAGCGTTTATGTTGGGATGTTGTGGCTAGGCAACACAAAACTTACTTCTTCATGTAAATGTCATGGATGTACAGAAAAGTAATATAACTAATTACTTTTGAAATGAAGTAATCAGGACAGTAACATGATTACTTTAAATTACTGATTACTGATTATTCCTTTTAAATTACATTTCCAGAGAAACTTGCACAACACTGTTCATAAATTATTTGACTCAAGAATAAATGGTTACTGCAATGAACATAATTCAGTTACAATAATAAAGCACCTCTACAGCAAATAATGCAGTGGCTTCATTCAGTTAAACAATTCAGTCTCAGCATCTGATAGTATCAAATATAACTAAATCAAAGATGTTTCGAAGATGAATTAAAGTCTTAAAGGTGAGACAACATGAGGAAGAGTAAATTGCATTTTATTTTTGGGTGAAATATCCCTTTAACTCACTGCTCGTGTCTAAAAGTCTCCTACTTGCCCTTTATTGGAAGTGGGTAGATCAACCACCTCCCAAAGCCAACTCTCAGGGAAGTGTGTACGGGACTTAATCTCTTCAGAGTCTGTATAATAGTCATCATCATCATCATCATCATCTGTTTTAACAGATAAAATAATTAATTAATGAGGATATAGACCCTTTAGAGCAAATTAACATGTCAGATAATGAAGTCAAAACAAATACAAAAACAGTACAAATCGCTTCAATCAAGAATTAGTTAATATAGAGATAATTAATTTTGTCATTCTTTCCAACAACTATCCACTTTTACTGTTACAGAATTAAGTCCTGTTGACACCAAGACTGCTCGGTGAAAAAAATTGTTAAAAAGGTATCTGCTTAGACCAATGTCAAAAATAAAAAAGGCAGATAGGCTGAATAAAAATGTAAATTCACTCTTTGACAGCTGGTGATGCTTACAGACAGAAATAGCCTGGTTAGTCATATTTTATATAACAGCAATGACTCTGGGCCGTGAGATGGAAACAGATTAGAATGCTTTTTCAGGGAAAAAAATAAAAATACAAAATTTAAAATAGATAATGTATACAAATGCATTTCATCATTATTCTCTTCAACGACTACCCACTTTTACTATGATCACAATTACAAAGTATTTTTGAAACAGTTAAACACTGTAGTAAATATTCTCACATGCAGCCCTAATGCAGCATCAGTGGCTGTTTATGCAGGATTTGAGACAATTTTTTTAATAATGAAAGCTCAAGATACTATTTATAAAAAAAAAAAAAAAGATATATATATCTAGGAAATATAAGAATGCCAACAGTCCAATAATGCACATAATAAACAAACTGCACAAGCAGCTCCCCTAATGGTTTGAGTTCAATGGTCTGGGTTTTGTCATGCTGCTTTTCTTTTGACATAATTAAAATTTTGTGACAAATTTAATCACATAATGTATTTACTGCGAGCCAGAATCTGCTTCTCCTGCTTCTCTTTCATCTGGTTGCAGCAGTCCAGGAAGGCCTTGACACACTCTTCACCATCGATGATGTATGTGGCTCTTCGTTCACAGGTGTAGCCGAGTTTATTATCCCTCATCCCATCAACGCAACACTGCTTCAGTTCACCGGAGTATTTACCAGCTGAGAAGACAATGTTAGTGTAGAACAATGAGGGAATAGGAGAACATGATGAGAACTTAATGTGGAGGAGGTCTAATGCTATTTCATGCATTCTGAATTATTTACACTGTTTAAGAGTTGGATTGCCATGTTAAACATGGCCAAAGTTTCAAAAAGCTATTTGGACGTATGATGTATTTTTGTACCAAATATACTCCTTTCGGGTTCGTACAAGTTTCTGAACTTTTTTTTTTTGACCATGGTGCTTTATGACGTCATGAAGGGAAGAATTCCTTTTATGAGCACTTCTCCCGGAAGAGAGTGCGCACACATCAACCAGAGCGAGAACAAGAGCAGCCCATCAATGTGTTTCATTCAAGTTATGCAAGTCATCGGCAGCGCAGCACTAGTGCTCGAGAAGAATGTCTCCAAAGAAGTGTGTTTTTGGTTGTGAGGGAAAGATAACCTTGTTCAGCTTCCCAAAGAACCCATTGTTATGTGAACAGTGGATGCAGTAAGTTTTTTCCGGGGCTGCAACGGAGTTTCGCAAGTGTCCCAGATAGCTCACGTTCATCTGCAAGATGTCTGTTAAAGATCGCTTGATCTAGAAAGCATCTGCTGTGTACAAACATCTTATAGACGTCTTTAAGATGCCAGTTTTACATATTCTATATCTTAAAGACATTTCTAAATGTCTATTTGGCATCTGATAGGAAATGTTCTATAGACGTATTGCAGATGAGCAAGCACTCTAAAAAAATAGTCTTGCAGATGTAAATGCAGACGTCAAATAGACGTCTCTGTGATGTATGTGTGCTATCAGGGGTGTTTGGTTGTTCCCATCATTTCGGTGTCGAATGTTTTATAAACAAGGCCCAGTTCAGCGCTGGATTTGCACATAGTTTGATACTGAAAGATGGAGCTATCCCAGCGATAACAGATCCCAGTCATGAGTCAGAACCGCAGGTGGTAAGTTAAACTGCATCAGATTTCAGTGTTTTGATGGCAATCCGCACGTAAGTGATCGTGACTCTTTAGCTCCGCCCCGTGGCACGCCTCCAGGAGCTTGGCTGTTTTCAGAGAGAAGCGTAAAGCTGTATCTTTCTTTTATAAATCTGATAAAACTAAAGACTCTTCGGAGATATGAAAGATGCAATACAACTCTATAGGCGCTCAAGTGATTAACATGAGATTGGCCGAATCTGTGTTTGTTTTGTCCTCTATAGGGGGGGAAAGACAAAGTACCCTAAAAATGTGAACATTGACCTAAAAAAATAAAGGTTTAGGATATTTAACACAGAATCTGAGTAAAGTCCATCTTCTCACCCAGTGTACTAGTGATCTGCAGGAGACTCTCAGATCTTCGTTTTCTCTTTGCAGGAACGGGACACTCGGGCACTAGAGGACAATTCATTAAAAATATATATATATAGTTTACTGTAAAAAATAATGTTAAAGAACACAAGAGCATTTAGATCAATTGAGTAAACCTAATCAAATAAATTCCAAAAAAAACAGGCAACTAAGACACAGGGAACCAAACAACAGGAAAGTCATGGCACAACATTCAAGGTCTGACCAAAGACAATAAGAACAACAGGGCAAAATAACAGATGTGAAAAGATTAACAAACAAACAATAAATAAATAAGAATAAAGTGGTTGGTTCACCTCAAGTGGTCTAAAACAAATGGTTATATTGATGTTTACAGATATCTCAGCTCAGGATGGCTCAAGCTCCTTTGGACAAAAACTAATCTAAAAATATATCTAGAGCATGTTTCAAAGTACAAATTTATATTTAAATCTGCCCATATACATTTTATACATTCTTGTTGCTTAGACTTCTATAACTTAAGTACAAATGATCAGGAACGGATCATGATTGCTCAGGGTTCCACATGTAGTAATTAATGTTTGTAAATCAGGTCCAAAACAGTGCTTCTCAATCAGGGGCAAATTTCCAAAAGGATACCTAATAAGGCTTTTATTGAAGTGTCTGTAAATGTTGAAAACTTTGTTGTGGGCCATGACACAGGTGAACACTGTAGTTCAAAAAAGAAAAGAAAAAAAGAAAGAAAAAAATTGTGATTTTGCAATAACAATACAGTGAGGTAAATTACTTAATTTGAAATTGGTAAGCAACCTCCATTGGAACACTTGTAAGTCTAAGCATATTACACATATGCCACCTCACACTCAATATGTCAATATTTTTTCAATCATGTCATGTTTTGTGTTTTCTGTTGGCTGTTGAGAATCAGCAATAAAGTACCATATAAATTCCTTCCACATATATATATGGCAACTATTGAGTAGCATGGTAGGCTATCTATTTAAATGTCACAGTAAAACGTTATATATAATTATATTATTGTGTAGTCATATTAGGCTGTTTTTTTTTTGAGCTGTATTGAGTGGATTCTGGTCAACTTGAACACCTCTGATTGGTCATTCTGTTCAAGAGATCAACAGGTATGTCTGTAATTGGCTGCACTGCTCAACACTGCAAACAAACCTTTGACGCTCTCCAGAGCATAAACACAAATACTATTGTTTAATTAATAAATCTAGAATATGATAATTAGCTCAAAAATAATGAAAATAAATTGTACCTGTTCTGGTGTCGGTTCCTCCTGCAGTGTTGGACGCAAACATCAGACCTGCATCAGTGAAAACCCCCATACTGTCCCTCCCACCTCCTGCTGTACAGCCGGTGTCATGCTTCTCTATGACGTCCCAGATCTAGAGGTGCAAAAAAGACAATTATGTATGTTTTGTGAAAAACAGTAACAAGATGATTGTGCCATAACATCTGAAAAAGATCCTTCACCTGAGTCTGAGTGAGTCTCTTCTTGTTAAGGACTTGCACAGCCTTGTCAACCACCACCAGACCAACTTTAGCTCCAGGATCTCCAGTTATCTGCAGCTTGACCTCTTCTCCTGTGCCATAGATATTCATCTTCTCCTTCTCCTTCTTCACCTCAATCTGGAGCTGTTATTAAATGAAACACTGAGTCAGACCTAGTTGTTTGGCACATCATCTATTTCTTGTGATGGTTGACCCACCGTTCCCATGCACATGTCCTTCACATCGGCCCAGACTGAATCAGACACCACCTCAGACGAGCCCACATGGTAATAAGCCACAAAGCGGAAGGACGGCACCATGTCTTTGGTTACAGGCAGAGACAGAGTCACTAGTGATTCTCCACTTCGCTTAAGCCTGTCTGCTTTTACAATCTGACCTTTACTCAAGATCTGAAAATGAGGCAAAAGTGAAAAGACACTATATGGTTTCAAACACAAGCTATGGTAGTTCATCACATAATGACATGATAAACTGATACATTTATGGTGCAGCTGAATAAGAAATAGCCATAATCTTTACCATGTAGGTGAAATATTGACTTCTGACTCCTGGAATCTGTCCAGTGTTTAGATTCACTGTCATTGGACCACCGATCTGAAGCTCAGCAGAATCAATGCCGATGTGCAGGTAGTTGTTGGAGCTGCCTTTGGTCTTGTAGGCCTGAGCCGTCATCTTCCTCACTGCCTGCTGATTGTCTTCTATCTCTGGATCTTTGGTCTTTGCCTGAAAAGAAAAAATACATTGGTTTCTGATGTGCTGTGAACAATATGCTCTATTGATTGTTTAACAACTGTTAACTGATCTATTCTCCACTAGATCACCAGTGAAACTGACTGAACATCAGTGCTGTTATGATGGCAGGTCTTACAGTGATGTCCAGTGTTGAAGATCCTTTCGGAGTGTTGACTGTAACCTTCGCAATGCCGTTGTCTCTTGTTCGACCTCTGACCCCTCCAGGATTGACCTCCATTTCCACATTTACAGCAGGTGTTTGGTCAGGATTTGTTACATAAACCTTTTTTAGAAGCCAGACAAAAAAAAAAAAACGAATTTATGTTAATATATTTATGCAGTTGTTTCTACATCCTTTTAGGTTTTTAACTTTCTAGCTAACAATTGCTCTGAACTGTAAATTAATTCTGATTCTGGAAGATATCTGGGATTAGGGATATTGTAACATTATTGGTAAATTACCATTTTATAATGCATGAACATGCTCTTTAATTGGTTGCTTCAGATTTAACATGGGACACTTGGATCAGCCATTATTAATTGGGGATGTTGGAGATTAATTGTATTGCTGTGTTTGGGATATTTCTGGGCTGCAACCTTTTGGCCAGTGGGTTTGGCATATTTAGCCAGAAAAGCCAATCTGCAAATATTACAGTAATTTTCTGAATTTAACATGTAAAATCGGAAACTGTTTTATACCGAGACACTGAAGGGCATCCCAGGTTTGAAGAAGTGTGGTGTTTTTTTGAAGTGGATGGTGTACGGTGACGTCACGATCTGAATGCCTCTCCTTTCTGCTTCCACCATTTCACTGCCTGAAACACACAAACCATTAGCTTCTCATACAATCACACACGTGCAGGTAAACATGTGCATACAGATCTGTTGAGTCTTACCACTTTCTGTTAATAGACTGACTGAAACATAGATTGATCGTCCAACCAGCTGGTTAATGTTTGGAAAGGTGTCAGTGATCATCTGATTGGTCAGTTCTGCAGTACCCTCTCCTTCCACGATCTATTCACACATGAAAAACACAGCAACATCAGTCTACAAGACACAATAAAAAGCTATTTTTATTTAAACTGTCCTCTAGGTGAGGAGAAATGTGATTTTTGGTGTCTAAGTTAATGTCTCTCACCTGAACTTTTTGCAGAGATGCAGGAATACTTGTTTTCTTCTCATCTTCCATCACACCAAACACCACAAACGCATTTCCATCCACCTTCTGTCCAAACAGGTACCTATAAAAGCACATTCAGTTTCTGCTTTATAATCAATAGTGACATTGGTTGTCCCTGATCCAAATCCACATTCAGTGTACTGGGATAAAAACACAGCTTGGACCTTTTGTGTTCCACAGAAGAACAAAAGTTGCTAATTTGTGACCCTGGCTGTGAAAACCCAACTAAAGTAATTTTTTTGTGATTTACTGTTTTCTACATAAAATCATCTTTCATAAAGATGTAAAGAACATTCTGTGAAAATATAAGCTTTGTATCTTTAATATTGACTGGGTAAGGCCATGTCAAAGATTGAAATCATAGTGAAATTAATGGTTGAAATCAAACTTTGATGCTTGTTATCTCATAATTCGATTTTGAGAATTTAGCCTGGATTTCACAGACGGTCACATTTTATCTGATCTGACAAATTTACAGTTGGTCTAACTTAATGGTGGTATTCAATATTCAGTGTCATATTCAGTGATATACAGTATCTGACTAGAATAAAACTAGGTCATTTAAATGTTACTTATGAATAACATGTAGGAATGGCAGGAAAATATTTGGTTGCTGATAGTACATTATTTTGTAGCAGAATATATTTTTGTCTTACTTGGCTTCAATGTCGACTGTCAGACTCTCATCACCCACATAGAAGAAGGACTTCCTGGGCTTTAATTTCACTTCAAATGTTGGAAGCACTAAAACCAAACCAGACAAAAGACACACTAATCAGTAAATACATTCTTTGACTTGTTATCATATGCTTACACAACTAGAGTTTGTAGACACAGGTCTTACCATATTCTCTGACCTCAAAGTCTGCAGTAAACTTCTTCTGAGGAGTCTTTGAGAACAGTGTGACCACCTTCCAGATCCCAGGACTGAAACAAACCGAACACATCCAGAATCATTCACATGTCTGAGACTCTGAGTTCAGGACATTAAAACAGGTGATAACAGACCACGAGCAGCTAGGGTTCTGCTGCTGTTTATCAATACATTATTATTAGATATTGACCTGAAGCAGATGCCATAGACAGATAAAAATTAAGTTTGGTCACTTTACTCAGGTTAAATAGCACCAGTCCTGATAGTGTTTTACACACCTGGCAACATCAGGGATAGCATACTTTCCGGAATATATTCCTTTTGCTGGAATTATGTTCTTTGATGAAATTGTGATGCCTTGTGGATTCTTCAGAAACAAGACAGAAATCACTGGGTCTGCTGAGATCATCAAATGCTCATGACAGCTGAAACATCGTGAAAGCATGCGTGTGTGTGTGACATAACAGTATGGAGTTATATAAGAGTTTACCATTATTTTCACTGTGATTTTAGACTCACTGAGTGGTTTCATGTTGGGCATCAAAGAGAAAATCCTGTAAAGAACTGCAAAAAATGTTATGCATTCTTTTTTTCTTCATCTTTTTTTATTCATTTTAGACTCTTAATTTTTCAAACAAACAATGTAAACATAGAAATTATCAAGTATGAGTTTTCTTAAGTTTGGAGAAAATCAAATTAATCAGGCCCATGGATAGAACGTTATTTTGCATATAACAGTAAATCTCCATGACATATTGTGTGCTGTAAAAAAAAAAAAGACATTATATTATTGTGACAGATGAAGATACTGTATAGACAGATAAAAAAGTACAAGAAGTGTCTCTAGGAGTCACTATACAGTTTTGTCATATCATTGAACATCAGCCTATCTGACCCAAAGTCTAGGGTGGCCATATGTGCCGTTCATACGGGACACGTCCTGGCCGGGACTTTTATATTGCCTAAAACATCCAAAGTAGTTTGACCAATAACATGCAGGTATTGCATATAATCGATCAAGCATGGTGCGTGAGAAGGTGAGATCTACAGAGAACAATCAAAGTGATGTAAATACATTTTATGGACTCATTTAAACACCCTAATAACTTAATGTTTAAAATGCAGAACTGTTTGGTGATTATTATATTATTATATTAAGGGGCCGTTGAATGCTTGAATCTGATTGGTTGATGAACGTTCTAAGGTGTGCAATTATTTTCAGGGAAACGCACGGCTAATGTAGTTCCAGCTAGGTCTCGACCACAATTCATGTCCAAATCACTTTGCCAACACATTTCAGTTATTTCAATGGTCCTCACAGCCTAAAACAGCAAAATAACCAAAACCCACAGCAAATTATAATATGATGCTTCAGTTCACCAATGTATAATTTAAAAATTGCAAGAAATATATAGGTAACAAATAACTATTTCTATGTTCATACATTTTATAGAGAGTTTTGTGAATCAAACAGGAGATTCATATAGATCTCATAAAGTTTGGAAAAGTTCACTTCAGTCCAATTCAGATTTCCCATAAATGACCTGCAAAAACCGGTTGTGTAAATTCAGCCTTTGGTAAATTGGAAGCTGCTCTGTTGATCTTGTAGGGGTCGAAAGAAAGGTTTCTTTCTTAATTTACATTGTTGCAGCGCCTGTTTTCATCCTCAGTCTGAAAGCTCATTTTTAGCTGTCTGTTTTGAGTGGTCTACCTGATCAACCCGAACCACCGACTTGTGCAGGATGTTTTACAGTAGTAGTAATTATTGATTGTATACCTCTCTTACAGTGCAGATGTGATAACTGTGTCATGTTTCTACATCACAGCAAAAAACAATGTCCATTAATATACTGAACTGCATTGACTCAACAGTTACAAATCCAAATGCAGAATATCCTGTCTGTAGTTCAGGACTAGCAGTGCAAAATTCAAACCACTTGTGAGCTGTGATGAGATCTGTGAATGAGGCCACTTTAGAAAGATGAAATCTGTATCACCATCAATAAATAACCAACATCACCTGATCACATTTGATTTTTGGTTTCCTTTGCAACAAATAATGTGCACTGTAAAAACTTGTGCAGTTAAATAACAGTAATTTACTGGCAGCAGGGTTGCCAGTAAGGTACTGTTAATTTACAGCTCTCAACCATTAATTTACAACTCTTAATTTTTACAGTGTTTTACCGTAATTCTACGATGGAAATTAACTCTGCTCCCATTGCTTCAAACAGTTAGAGCTTAAAAACTAGCATTCATGCGATGTTAGTACTGTGAGCTTATTTCATTTCAGTCCACTGAGAAAGAATATTTCTTAGTATAAAACTGCAAACACTTAACGTGTAACAGCAAAATAACTAAAAACATGACTTTAACTCAAAATCATTGCAGTTCACTGTTAGCTATAACACACATGTGCGAGATGAAGTAACAAAGAGATCATTACTGTATCAGCAACTCCACAGTTACTGTCTTTAAATAAAGCAGCAGAACATCAGTGTCTGTGGCTCATCATTGACTGAAGCACAGGCTCTACTCTCCAGCTCAATGGTGACCCACAAAACTGCATTAAACTTACAGATGTCTCTTGTGCCAAAACACAATAATACCGTTCAGTTCAATATTTACTCTCCTTATCAGTTCATGACTTTGCATAACTTTTTTTCTATGAATGTTTACAAATATTTCAGTCAAATTAACTTTTTTCATTTGGTAAATCTGACTCTTACGTTTTACAGTATATTGCTGTTTTTTCCTGGACTTAACGAGAAGGGTGTTCCTGCACAACCGGAGGCTGCAGTTTCAGGACCGCAGTTCTAGGACCCTATTCTTTTGTAACAGCGCCACCTACCGAATCGGATCACTAAAGATGGATGACATGGACAGCAATCAGAGTGAGTAACTTTACCGATTTTCAATTAAGTTTTATTTTATAAAAACGATGCAAAGTTTACATATCAAACGTGAGAACTGCTAAGAAATAATAATGAATTTCCAATTGCTAGTTTTATTGATTATTAGATGTTCTTAATTTGTGGCCATGATTTGACATAATAAATAATAAACCTTGTTGACATAATGTCTACAATAAGTAAATCTAGCCAGCACATTAATTAAACTTAAAAAGATGATAAAAGCATGTTGATGTGAGATGTGTCAGATTTACCTGTAGCTTACTGTATTAGTGTGAAAACTTGTTTGATACTCATTGTTTTAGCATATTAGTTAAGTATAAATCATCTTTCATAATTAAACTGGGCTCATTGCTTGGTTGCACCACAATATGTGTTATTAGCCTGTCCTTTTGTCAGTACTTTAGATTAATCTGGTTGATGTTTGAAAGGCATGGTCAGCGGTCTGCCTTCTGGACTGATGAGGCCAGAATCTTGCTCCAAGGAGCTCTTCAGCCAGTGTACAGAGTGCGATCTCAGAGGAGATCCACATTCAGGCTGTCCATGACCACACTGCAGAGGTAAAGAGACTGCTGGACTTCATTGTGAAGTTACAGGGATCTGAGGAGCGTTTAGTGGTACTTAAACAAACAATGTTCACATTTAATCATCATTACAAACAAACTCATAGTAAAGGTTCACCAAGGGCCTTAATTAGGAATAACATTAACAATATCTTTTAACTTTGCTGCAAATTATTGTATCTTTATCTTAAATGTATCAATTTCCTCAAAATAACTGTTTTTGCAGCATGGTTTGCCCATAGTACTCAACGGGAAGCCCTCTAAGGTCTCATAAGCTAACCTCCTC